AAGATCTCAACAGAGTGTTCAAACAATCATTATTCAATGAATATGCACTTTTTATAACGATTATAGATAACTATAGACGCAGGTTTTAAAAGGGAAAAGAAAACTTGAATACTTTTTATTTTAAATTTAATATAATGCACATCAAAATCGTTTTTATGAAACTGCATAGATGATGTATCAATATATCAAAGATTAAAGAATATTATTGTCTTTCTGTCATTTTGTTAAAAGTTTTTTTTCATAACTTTATATGGATATAAATGGCACTTCTCTCCGAATATTACAATTCAAAAAAATCCATAACATAGTTTGTTATTCAATAAGTCTAAGGATTTCATATTTTAACAACTAAATATCGAAATTAAAAATGGAGGACAAAAATAATATTCTTAAACAATGTTTCATTCTATTAAAATTCCTAAATACATATAGATAATCTGACACAACAGAAAACAGAAATATTATTTTACTTTTATTTCTATAGATAATGTTAAAAAATAATACGCTCGTGATGTAAATTCCACGACCTAGTAAGCTACCTTTCCTACAAACCAACTTCTATTTTCTAAATTCCCTATAGATCGGTCTATCGAACAAATGGAAACGTCAAAAAGCGAACCCGGCAGATTTTACCGTTATTGCCCGCCGCGAGCATCCCTACGATGTCAAATCGTACCACTATTTTATGCGTATGTCTTTCTATCTTTTCGTATCAGTATAAAGACGGTTGTTGCAGTTTCCAATCGAGCAGGTGCGATAAAAATAGAGAACGCTGCAAATAGAAATCAGTTCGTTTACGAGAAAGCTCAGCGAAGTTTCATAAAACTTCGAATATATTCGAATCCGATGGGGTGTTTCTACAAGTTTATTTTCAGATTTTACATAAAATAAAAGGCGCACGTAGATATGTATGTAAAGTAATATAATCTTAAGAGTAAAATGTCTTGATCGATACTTATATTATATAATTAGTTATTTGATTAGATACATATTTACTAGACTCTCAAGACATTGATATCAAATGTCATGAGACATTTATCAATAAAATTATGATTAGTTGGTATTATCATAGATTATTCGATTCTAGCCTGCCAACTTATGGCAACTTATGACAATGATGGCGAACCTTTTGAGCTCGGTGTGTCAACATTTTGAAACATCGAAACAAAATTTCAATGAAGGACTATTAGTGCTACAATTTAAAAATAATTTTACAAGATACACAATGTCCCGAATAAGTAAAAAATATTATAGTTGTATATTTTTAAATGGAACACCCTGCATATTATTCTGTTTTTAGATTCTACAATTGAAGTAAAGGTAAATTTGATTAAAGTTTATCATACTTAAACCTTACCGTTTTTGAAATATTTTCAATTTTGTGAAATTGCAGCAAAAAATGTAAGGCTTCATTTCTCCAAGGGTATTTTTAATAGTAAATATTTACTGAAGATTATTTATTGATCAGATATTGGTGTTGCAATAATAAAAATTATACTACCTTATACAGACTGTCCAAAAATGTATTAAATAATTACTAGCTTTAAACGGCAATAACTTGTTTAATTTAAATGAAACACCATGTATATTTTTGAATCAGATGCCCAATTTAATTGTCTATCAAATTACATTCTACCATTTTATACTTATCTCTTCAAGTTTTCGTAGAAAATGCATTTTCTAATAATTTAGACCTCATTTATCACTGTACCCATGGAATATTGACATTCTAAATTTTTTTAAAGCAACATATGTACAAAATGTACAGGTGGTAAAAATAATAATATTGCAAGCCCATTTGGTTACAAAAAGAAAAGATCATGGCTTGATTGGTTATCTTTCTCCATTTGTTTCTGTCTTTCGCCTTTATTCTCCGCCCATCCACTCTTATTCTTCTCAAGTCCTCTTCTACATCCTTTTTCCATCTGATTCTCGATCTATCCCTCCTTCTCTTTCCACCTATTTCACGTTTCATTATCGTACTAGGAATTCTTGCTTCAGCCATCCTTTCAATGTGTCCCACCTCAGTCTTTGTGCTCTTGCTACTCCCGTTATACTCGGTGCCCGATATAGTTGCTTTAATTCTTTATTTGTTTTTCTGGTCCATATGTTGTCTATCTTCTTTCCTCCAAAAATCTTCCTCGGTATTTTTCTTTCCCAAATCTCTAGCCTCGAACTTTCCGTTGCAAAAAGCTAGTAATTTTTTAATGTAAATTTTTATCCACTCTGTATAAGGTAGAATTTTGTTTATTATTGCAACACAATATCTGATCAATACATAAACTTCAGTAAATATTTAGTATTGAAAAATGACGCCGTAACATTTTCATTGCAGTTTTACAAAATTGAAAATATTTCAAAAACGGTAAGGTTAAGTGTGATACACCTTAATCAAATTTACCTTTATTTCAATCGTAGAATCTAAAAATATAATAATATACAGGATATTCCATTTAAAAAAATACAATTATATTATTTTTTACTTATTTGGGACACTCTATATCTTGTAAAAATATTTTTAAATTGTAGCTGTAATAGTCCTTCAACGCATCCAAAACTTACAATTATTTATAAAAATCTGATCGTTTAGCTACAATACTCCGAGTCGTATGCGTTGAACAACCCTGTAAACATATTTAAATACTAACTACATACAAAAGCATTGAAATGCATCCAAACTTAACTCCAAAACGACGTCCCGTCAGACTCTAAACCGTCCAATTTCCTTTCGCGCTCTTTACCGCCGCCATCTCCGTTACAATTACCATCCTTATCCGCTCCCTTTTATCCCCCCCCCCCTCCGTCCGCCCCTGAAAAACCGTCATCGTATGACGGCGCCTTCGCCCGTTCTTCCTCCGTATATGATACACGTCATAATAACGTGAAATTGCGAAAATCTAGTTATTCCGCTGCATAAAAATATTTCAATTTCCTCGGAGCACGCGGAAAGATTCCCGTATTGACTGGTGGCAGAAGAGGGAGGGGATGAAAAATATACATATACTGTGGTAGAACATTTTCGGAGTCGTATCTTACACGATTTCTGGTTTGTAATGGGACCGCTGCTGACGGTATTGAAGGAGACGTCTTTTATTAAAAGATGAATAATAGAGTAAATTTTATCTATTATATTAGATTCTGTAAATTTTTTGAATACGGTTAAAGGTTGATTCTCACTATACCTTCCGTTTCCATTCCATATTCGTTCCGTATTTTTTTTGTATTGACGCTATACGTAAGCTTCCGTTCCGGATCAGTTCCATACTTTTTCTTGTAGAATTTATATCATTACGCAAGTTGTATTTTAAAAATTTCTATCTTTTGAAAAAGGTAATAGATTTAATTAAGAGGTGAAAGAATGAATATCAGCAAAATTTTAACAGAGCTGGTACAAATATAAGAACTTGACAACGCTGTTTCCGATACACTTCAGTCCGTCCGCCAAAAAAATGTATGGAAGGAAAGGATATGGAACAGAAGGGAAACGGAACGGATAGTGTGCATTGTCCTATTTATTTACATGATATAATATTTTATGTAAACGGAAGGGAAACTGAAAGGAGTTGATACGAAAAGTATAGTGAGAATCAACCTTAAGGCGGCGCGGCGGTTACATTGTATCAGTGGTGGCGCGTGGTTCAATACTTTAGGAGTGACCAATAGAGGTAGGCCAAAAGATTCGATTCACCGCTTAGAATACGGTTCGTTCAATTGAATCGTGGCCAGCACGGTGTAGTATAATTATTCAAAGACTCGGCTTGAGAATAAACCAGGAGTAAACGCAACTCCATAAAATTTGAACGATGAGCCGTAAAAAGAGTCGTAAGTATTGAATCGGATAACAATGCGATCGTTCATTCAAAGAGTAGTGAGAATTGATTCAATGCTTAGAATACGGTTCGCTCAATTGAATCGTGGCCAGCACGGGTCCATAAAATTTGAATGAGGAGCCGTAAAAAAGAGTCGTAAGTATTGAATCGGATAACAATGCGATCGTTCATTCAAAGAGTCGTGAGAATTGATTCATTGCTTAGAATACGGTTCGCTCAATTGAATCGTGGCCAGCACGGGTCCATAAAATTTGAATGAGGAGCCGTAAAAAAGAGTCGTAAGTATTGAATCGGATCAGAATGCGATCGTTCGTTCAAAGAGTCGTGAGAATTGATTCATTGCTTAGAATACGGTTCGCTTAATTGAATCGTGGCCAGTACGGGTCCATAAAATTTGATCGACGAGCCGTAAAAAAAATAAGTATTGAATCGGATCACAATGCGATCGTTCGTTCAGGGAGTCGTGAGAATTGATTCATTGCTTAGAATACGGTTCGCTCAATTGAATCGTGGCCAGCACGGGTCCATAAGATTTGAACGATGAGCCGTAAAAAAGAATCGTGAGAATTTAATCGGATCACAATGCGATCGTTCGTTCAAAGAGTCGTGAGAATTGATTCATTGTTTAGAATACGGTTCGTTCAATTGAATCGTGGCCAGCACGGGTCCATAAAGTTTGAACGACGCGCCGTAAAAAAGAGTTGTAAGTATTGAATCGGATCACAATGCGATCTTTCGTTTCTAAGGCTCATTCGTTCAAATAATCGTGAGAATTAATTCAACGCTTACAATACGGTTCGTTCAATTGAATCGTGGCCAGCACGGATCCATAAAGTTTGAACTATGAGCCGTAAAAGAGTTGTAAGAATTGAATCAGATCGATGCGACGCTTAGCCGGGCACCAATATTTAGACTTGAACAAAAGCCCTAAAATTTTTACAAGAAAAAACTTATTCATACTGTGCTTAGTACGGGAATCTTTAGTACATTTAATTTTCAAGTTAATATTTTTGTTAAAATAATATTTACCGACTATAAAGTATAATAAATATTTATAAAGACCATTAAATGTCGGTCTCAAAGACAAAATCGTGTTTTTATGCAACTTATGCAAAAATATTTTTAGACATACTGTTCGTCAAATGATTTTACATGAAATAATTTACTTACTTATCATAGACGACGTATTTGTCCCCACTCTCTTCATAGCATTCACCTTTTGTCTCTATATGGGTGTTGTTGATAAGAAGTAGTGTTGGTACTCCGCTTTGGAACCACCGGCCCTGCCAAGATTTCTTGAATTGACATCCAGCTGAAACGAAAATAGGCGTTATTATACAATTTCAATTATAATTTATTTACTTAATTGATAAATACTAGTGTTAAGGTTTCGACAGACGATTACAGAAGAAAAGCAGATGACGTCCATACCAATCTATTTATTTTAATAAAAAAAGTTTTGGAAGATGGTGCATTTTGATTCGTGTTATTACGTGTGTTTTGTGTCTTTTGAAGTCAAGTGGAGGGAAAATTAACTGTAGACCCAGAGCACAGTTTATAGTTTGATTTGGTTTGGTTTGGTTTGGTTTGGTGTAATAATAATACTCTTTGTTTTGTTTGGTTTGGTTTGGTGTAATAATAATACTCGGTGTCCAGGCAGAAAATCTTATACACCAAAAAAATAAAGTTACCATCAATAAAGTTTGTATACCATCGCGTCATAGATAATTAATGCATCTCGCATATGGTACAAGGATCGTACTAAACATATACTAAAACTCGAGTAGCTGTAAAATAATGACATCACACGATAGGTAAATAAAGGATTTTAGTAGTGTAGAAAAATAATGTTAAACTAGACCGGTTTAAAAACATTAAGATTAAATTTAATTAATCAACCTTTAAGGTATAAAATTCGGTAAGTGTTATTATTATTATTAAAATAGTTTGTTTTATTTATGTAGTTTTATTTATTTCTGTGGAATAGTATAAATTTGTATTTGTACATAAGTTATATTGATAAATACAATAATACAAGCGGGAAGTTTCTTGAAGCTTGAAAATAAGAAATAGTTCTTTTTTATATTTTTTTGGTATGTGGTGTTTTGTTCTTGTTTGTTTTATATTAACACATACCGTTCTTTTTAATAATATAACTCGATTATATTTTTTCAGTTTTATACAGTTTTTCAGTTAGGTTAGGTTATATATTTTGAAGTAATCACTTGTCACTCAAATTTTAAATATATTAATTTCCTCCTATGCGTTCCAATAATTGGAATTTCCTACTATGCGTTCCAATTATTGTACCAACTTATTTCTTTGTGAAATAAAATAAACTACTTTGAAATTAAAATGACAGACACACCTATCACTGTCAAGGATTTTTATGGTGTAAAAAGGGTGAACAAAAAGAGAAGACAATATCGATGCTGGGAACATTAATAAAGGGATAATTTTAAAATATATAGAGTCATCAATAGATGCCTTTTTCTCCATTTGTTTCTGTCTTTCGCCTTTATTCTCCGCCCATCCACTCTTATTCTTCTCAAGTCCTCTTCTACATCCTTTTTCCATCTGATTCTCGGTCTATCCCTCCTTCTCTTTCCACCTATTTCACGTTTCATTATCGTACTAGGAATTCTTGCTTCAGCCATCCTTTCAATGTGTCCCACCTCAGTCTTTGTGCTCTTGCTACTCCCGTTATACTCGGTGCCCGATATAGTTGCTTTAATTCTTTATTTGTTTTTCTGGTCCATATGTTGTCTATCTTCTTTCCTCCAAAAATCTTCCTTGGTATTTTTCTTTCCCAAATCTCTAGCCTTGAACTTCATTCAACTGGGACCTAACGCAGTTGTAGAATAAGATTAATAATTAGTTATTTGAGTACTGAACTGTATTTTTTGTTTCCTTGAAAAGACACTAAGACATACAAAATTTAGTGATAACCATAAATTTATTTTTGTTAACGAAAATATTTATGTAATCGTTTTTAATCATACACTTTTGAAATGAAACATTTACTATTATCTGTTTCCTTGTTTTAGCCTGAGCATCCCTCATATTACCTCGTTAAACCCTCTCGACAAAAGGAATCATCGTTGCCGACGCACAAAGGTCCATTCCAGAGCCCCGTTTTATAAAGACCAGCGGCACCGTATTTACCGACACAGCCGCTCGAATTTACCCTCCATTCCCCTACAGCGGGAGATACATATTACATGTAAAGGTTGTTACACACCATACACATATGGCATACTACTAGCACAACCTATTCAGTATCAGCCGGATAACATGTGACAGCGTGTTTTATCGGAAGTAATTACCCAAGTGCATCAAAATTACCGATATTTTTTCATGAAAGCATGTTGTTAAGCAGTAAAAACTGCATGAGTTTATATTCATTTTTGCCATAAGAGCCCGACTCCGAAGGAGGAGGGCTCTTCTTTACAAGGAAACAGATACCATAAGTTATAAATATAGAAAACAAAAACGAAAAAGAAGTTTTTGAAGAAATAAAAACATTTTTTACTTTATTAAAGTGACCCAGTGCCCTAATTTATATCTCAATTAAAACTAGAACCGCTAGTCATAGTAAAGGACTTAGGCGATATCAGGTAATGTATATAGAGTAACTAGTTAAAACTATACGTGCCGATCTTTGTAAACACATTAACTAAGCAAACCAATTTACTAGGTAGTTTGTACATTTACGGACTAAATTCCTTGAATGTAACATACATACAGCCACGATATTCAATACACGTTAACAAATATAGGTTTGAAAAATTATATTTCTTTTTAATTAATTATGGTTTCAAAGTAAAAATGTTCATTAAAATAATTCGTTAGAAGAACCAGATGAAAAAAACAATAATTCTGTTATAACTTACTAGTAAGTTATGACACAATATTATTAAAAAAAAACGGCATCAGCGAATGCTTTGAAATGAAGACAGCTGTCATTTTATTTGTAGACTTATACAAGGTGGCGCCTCTTATACGCCGCGGAGGCTCCAAGGAGAACGACAGTTTGTATTGAAATGAAATTTTGTGAGCATACACCATCGGACAAAAGTAGAGCAACAAAGTTCATTTTTATTCATGTTTGAATAAAAAAAAATATTAGGTTGTGTTTTCGGCTATGTTTACTAACACACTATCCTTACACTAGAAGTAATATTTTACAAAATTTTGGTGTACTTTTAATCAGTTTAAAAATGGTAAATAATAATGATTATAAAAATTGATGAGAATGGGGGCGACAAAAGTAGAGCAACAAATTGTATTCAACAGATTTTATTGTGTCTTATTATTATTTATTTCAATAAAAATATTTAACACATTTAAGAACAATAATAATTGAAAGTAATACATTAGTAATTGATAGAATATCCATTATTATTAATAACTTGCTGACAACGGCGCGGCATTGAAGCAATCAACTTCTGAATGACATTTTCGGGAAGATTTGTCCAAACTTATTAATTACTCATTAATTTTATCTATCACGGATTGTTTATTTGGAAACATTTGGGTACGAATACGACGTTCTACTTCTTTACAGAGATTTTCAATGGGGTTAAGGTCTGGGGATTGTGCTGGCCATTGCAAAACTCGAACGCCATTTTCCCTAAACCACTGTTGAACAACTTGTAAAGAGTGTTGTAGATCGTTGTCTTGTTGGAAAATAAAACGCAGTGGCATTTCCCATTCTGCATAAGGAAGCATAACATTCTGCATGATATCCCTATAAACAAATCGGTCCAACATCGTGTCATTAATAAAGTGTATAGGGTCTATCCTATTCCATGAGAAACAACACCATAAAAATACACTGCCTTTACCGTGTTTAATTGTAGGTGTTACGTATTTAGAATTAAACCTTGTATTGATTGGTCGCCCCACACGTCTCATTCTATCAGAATTTAATATTTTGTGGCGCGTTTCATCACTGAACAGAACTTTTTTCCAGTCATTGACGGTCCAGGTTAAATGCCGACGTGCGAATGCCAGCCTTGCTACTCTATTTCTTTCCGAAACTAACGGCTTTTTAGCTGAACGTCTTCAAAATAACTATGCATCTACAAATCTTCTTTGTACTGTTCGTATAACAACCGTAATTTCTGGAATTTCGGCAATAATTCTAGGTGCGGACTTCCAAGGATCATTTTGAGCAATTCTTTTGATGCGTCTGTCGGTCATTACTGTTGTTTTCTTTGACCTTCCCGATTTTGTGGCAACTTTTCTAAGTGCCCCCTGTCATTATACGATGAAATTATTTTAGATACACTGTACCGCGATAACACAAACTGTCTTGAAATGTCGGCTTGTTTGTTACCTTCCATGAATGCATTCACAACTCTTTGCTTCAAGTCTTTTGAAATTGGAATTCCTCTTGGCATGACTAATCCAGCATAGAAATGTTTAAAAAAACATAAAATAAACCTCGCACAATTGTTTTGGCCTTTACTTTTGCTAAAACCCTTCTTTAGAATGAATTATTTGAATGTTGCTCTACTTTTGACGCGTTACTATTAAGCATTTAAAACTAAATGTCAAAATAAATTCATTTGTTTTGTTAGTAAAAATTCTTGCTGTCATGAATACTCATAGCCTAATTCGTAGTTTTTAAATTTATTGTATTAGTATACATTATCATGCATGTATAATTAAAAAATCGCGATTTACAAATATTTCTCGAAGTGTTGCTCTGCTTTTGTCCGATAGTGTATATAGGTTAATTCAGAGCACTTTTTAAAAATATAGGTTTTACAGGGTGTCCCCCAAAAAAGTTACATATTAAAGTTGTGTTTTTTGTAATGGAGCACCCTATATATTAATTGATTTTCGGATTCTGGGAGAAAAATAAAGGTGAGTTTTATAAGAGAAGTATATGACTAAAATGTAAGGTTTTTGACATATTTAACATTTTCTAAAAATAAAGAACACTTTTTAAATTACAATAAAAGCTACCTAAATTGGAATTTACCCGGTATAGCCCAATATGTAGTTAAATCTACTATTGTACTTTAAATCAAATTAAAACTTGATCCAAAAAGTTATACAGGGTGAGACAAAATTAATATTGAATATTGGTCACCTTTAAAGGCATTTTACTCTTTTATTTTAAAAGAAATACCCAGTATATTATCCGATATTCGATGGAGAATTCATGTCTCTTCAAAATACTATTAAGGTTGCCTACCCCTCAAACAAAGATTTTCTTAGATATTTTCATTTACATGATTTAATCTGAGTAGATCTTTATTATTTGATAAAATCTAGATGGCTGTGACATGTCTGACGTTACTTCAACATAGCTGTCTAATTTAATAACTTAAACAACTAGTTATCATTTTGTGTCAGTTAAAACAAAAAAAAATCTCAGAAATTTGCCGAAAATACAACCTTATCCTACATCAGAGAGAATTGACATAATTCTATTAGTTGGTGAATGCTGCAGTGTGCACATTAATAGAATACTTAAATGCACCTGATTTTATCTAGTCTTGTTTTTTACGGGGATATGTTAAAGACAGTGTTTACAAATGTAGCTGCTTTTCGAGGTGAACTCCACATATGCCTTTTAAAATTAAAAGATCTTTTGAAAAGACCATGTTATGCAGTTAACAGGAAAAGAAGCATTTTGAGCATTTGATTTGATCTAGCTAATTTTTCCACGCGCCACCCTGTACATTGTGTTTTTGTTCACTCATTAGAAGATATTTATTTATATGTATTAATACTTTTTATTTTCTTCTATTGTACCGATATTACAGACTCTAGAACAAAAGCCCTAAACAAACATCATGGATATAAAATGCAAGCGATGTGAAAGTTATCTACAAAAAATATTTATTTATACTGTGAGACGCAAAATGTGTTTGTAATTTGTTTAAATGAACGAATCGTAACAGCCGATTCATTAAGCCGATACACTAAAAGAATCGTAATGCGAATCACTGCTTCAAACTAACAACGCTCGTGTGTAACAACCTTTGGGAAGTGAGGAGGCAAACACAAAGGCCGCGAGCAACTTGTTGTTCCACTACCGACCTGGCGAGGGGAAAAATGTACCTCCGACAGCACTGACCCCCTGGAACGGGAATCGTGCGCCTTTGTAAACAAGAATTGTAATCAGAACAGGGAACTGCATAACCGGCGGTTCCGTTTGTAGTAAGCGAATTGGCCGCAATTCAATTTTCGAACGGTTTTCGAATTGTGTTTTGCACATTGGGCCCGGATTTCGTAGTGGAGAAACCGTACGATTCTGGACAGGTAGTGGAAGATGGAGTAAAGGGGAACAGGAAGGTTGCTTTACTGTTTAATTCAATTTGGTAAGAGGATAGGGTATAAAGAGCTTGAGGCAAATGTATTCTGAAACTTGTTAATATAAAGCAACTTTCCATCCATTGTCAGATCCTTAGACATACAGGCGTCGGGCATCTGTAGCTCCTAGAATAAAAAACTTGAGAATTTTGTTTAAGTGCAAACCTAAAGTATGTACCAGGATGTACTTCCGGAAAATAATTTTTACTTCTATAGAGTGGCTCAAAAAAGTGTGAGTAGGTCTGGATGATTTTTTTTTAAATGGAACACCTTGTATATTATTGCATTTTTGGCTTTCTTTCAGAACACTTCACATAATCCTAAGATATGATTAAATATATTTCGATAGTTACAGAGATATTAAAAAATAAATCAAAAATATATATTTTTCAACCCTTCTTAAAAAAAAATTAAAAATACAAGAACTGTTCTGAAATCAAAACTATATTAGATATTTACTTTAGATGGTCTGTTCTTACTTTGCTATAAATATGGCAATCGTAAATCATACAGGATGTTCAATATTTTATGCCAAACTTACGTCAAAAATATATAATAACTTTTCTTCGTTTCTTTTCTTAAATGGAACACCCTGTATATTATTTTTTTATTAGATGGAGAATTAAAAAATTAACATTTTTGTATTTAAAGTATTTCAAAATTTTAAATAATTTTCCGGATACATGCAGTATGATTTAATATGGCACTTTCAATGGTAAAATACGAGAGAAAAATCATTGGGTGGCTTTGATGAAAGTTTACTGTGGAAAATGCCATGTGAAGTACAAAACCGGGAATATCTGCGAAACCGTTAAAAATTTTGAAATACTCAAATTACAAAAAATGTTCATTTCTTAATTCTCCATCTATTAAAAAAATAATATACAGGGTGTTTCATTTAAAAAAAAAACGAAGAAAAATTGTTTTATATTTTAGAAAGTTTGGCGTAGAATTTTGAACATCCTGTATGATTTACGATTTCCATATTTGAGCCGGTAAAAAGCAAAGTGGTGTAAGTCAAGTAATAGTACTTCTGAGAAACACAAAGTTTTGCAATTGTGTAAATAATAAACTCCCAAATTATAAAACCAAAATTTAGTACAAAGGGATGTTGTAACAACATCCTAAAGTTTTATTGTAAAGTTGTATGAATACTAAAATCGATGCAGTTTTTGTTTTATACGGGCGCAAAAAAAATGTTGAAAATTTTATATTTTTCTTGACATTTTCCGGAAAATGTTGAAAAACTTTTGAGTGCCACTGTTCACTCCCCGGGAAATTCGTTTAACGGGCATAGAGAGTGTCGGAGAGAATGCAACGTTGCCATCTCCTACCATACCCACATTCTGCATGTTTATCTATAAATTCAATTATTTTAAGTTGCTACAGAAAAAAATACGAAAATTAATTTTATTCATATTAGTGTAGATTGCTCTACTAATTCTAGTGAAACGCGCAATATTTTAAATACTTTTTACAGTGGAGTAAACTGAAAAAAATAAATCTTAACAATTATAGCTTCTTTTTTCGCCATATTAGAAAATATTTTCAATCGTTTCAATAAACAAGTATAACCTTTAATGTTTAGTTAGAGCTTACCCTTTTAATGAAAGTGTTTTTATCCAGCACACATATACGCAAACACATACACACCAATATCTATTAAACTGAACATCACAAACCTATCACATGCCTATCACTTTTAAAATATTATTTAAAATTTTTCACATGATAATAATCAAACACTAAACTCATAAATACAATAAAAAATGTTAAAAAAACTTGCTTTAATAACTACTCATATCCGGAGGCTGATGGTAGACAGTCCGGGGTTTTCTTCGACATTTCTTCAAAACCGACGCAACCCCGACAACGATTTCGAAAACACTGAAGGAATTACAAATTACAAATTTTTATTTAGAAATTTTTTACCTTAGCGTCCTCTACTGGACTGATGTATTACTATTATGGGTCAACGTTTTGGTGGTTGTATAAAGATAGATAAATCAATTTTCTAAATGTTTAATGTATGGAGTAGGGATATCCCAAAAATAAAATAAAAGTACAAGAAAGGGTATACCCAAGAAAGAATTAAGGTAAAATCAAAGAGTATTCTACGTTATCTAAAATATAAAAATATGGGAAGCCCCGACAAAAATCTGACACCTGATATCAAAGTGATAAACAAACATCGGCGCATGCGGCAGCGAGCACTTACACTTAATTTTTCAGTTCATTGCTAGATGGCCTTTTACTAGGGATGCACTGCAAACAAATATTCCAGCAAAACTAAAGTGTTTTTTCTTATTCTAAATTCTAACAAGTAAATAAACCTGTAAAACTGTATAAATAAAATCGGTCTTCGATTTAAAAAAAAAGATCGATTATACCAAAAAATCGTTTGATAAAAATCACGTCGATTTGATAAAAATCGATTCGAATCGTACATCCCTAGTATGGTGTGTAGTTTAAGGTTATGTTTAAGGTTTTTTTCGACCATACGGTATTTCTAGGTATGGAATTATGTCTCTAATATGTAGTTAGGTAATTTTTTTCATTTGCCTATTGTTAATTATAACGTCGTCAAACTATAAAATTTGCTATATTTTTTACTTAATTTTTTTTAGTAATATCAGAACACGTTTTGAATAGTTTAATTAGTAATAAAGCTACTAACATGTTCGGTTATTTTTTTTTCTATAAAGCTTTTTTGATAAAAAAATAAGTATACCTGCTAAGACGTTAAATTGCCTGAGAAATTACGATCGATGCCATTTACCATCCACTTTTACACAATAAAATGCCATCGATCGTAATTTCAAAAGCAGAAAACTTGCCGCCGTTTTTTCCAATGAAATGGGCGGTGGGGAGAAAATTACAGATTCCTGTATTATATTAACGACTAACGACATTATTAATCGAGTGTACACAAAGCATGTACACTATTAGAAATCGATCTAATTTCTAATAGTATCGAGCTTTTAAAATTCGAGAAAGTGATCGGAGATTGTGTTTAAAGTGTTGTGAAATGTTCGTTAGTGCATATTTTTGTGTCGGTAATCGGTATCGGTAT